GGAACTCGCGTCTTTCTTCTTGAGCCTTCAGTCTTAGCTCACGTTCATGTCGGAGCTCGCAGCTCTGTCGCTCATTCATTTGGCGCAGCCTCTGATTTTCTTTGAAAAGTTGATCAAGGAGGCTGAGGAAGAGAAAAAAAAATGCATCAGAATATACTGATTATAGAGAAAATACCATGACATATAGTCAGATGTTTAACTTTGTTAATTTTTGCGCAGAGCAATAAAAAATCATTGTTCTGCTTGCTGTGTCTAATCGCGGCGCAGTTTAATCACATGCATGTATGACTTATTTATAAATCATGCCACTGGTGAACTAAGAGATGGCCACACATGATTCTGCTTACCTCTCCTCCGTGTCTCCAATTTGTGATTTTAGATCCATGTATTGACCTAAAAAACAAAGACGTGAATTGTGTACAACCTCGGGAAACAAGTTCCACATCTGCACGTTACGAAGTTGAGTGTACGCAACGGCAAGTCCCTCCTGAATGTCCATGTATTGATAAACATTCTACATCCGCTACCTACAATACTTTCAATCCAATTTAGATGACTCTTACACAAAACAGTCTAAGTTATTCGAAAACTTACAACCTGAAACTGTTATCCTTAAAGTTGTATGTTTTCGTATTTATTCACCAACTTCTAGAATGCCAGTTGATCTAAATTATGTTTCACTTTTCCATGGCAAATACTTCAATTCCAACAGTTGATGACCTACCGAGTAAATCATCGTGCAGTGTGGTTGATCCTGGACTTGACGGACAAGACTCTCTCTCTTCCGTCTCGAGGATGGGAGAGAGTAGCTTTCGTTGTTTCAAAGCCATCTGTTGATTGATAAATATTTTGTCTTTTAGCTTTTCGGAATTTGAACAACAACTTTGCTAACTGCCAGTTCATATCAGCACACTTTTGTACGCATTTTCGCAATTTGGCAGCAAATGTAGCTGAGCTCTAAAGTCAAAGTATTTCTGTGTAACGACACTTAATTCGTAGCGGAAATACATTAAGTCAGCTTGAATAAATTAAATAGATTTGCTTACCTCATCAGCAGTAGTTGGAAGTTATGGGATGAATAATCAAACAGTAACAGTCAACACGTCAACAGTAACAAATTCTGATCTTCGTGACACGCAAGACATGTACGTCTGAACACAAAGACAGTGTGATGTGAACAGAGGGCTTGGGATCAGGAACGTCGTCATGGAACCATTCTATGACGTCATTACTACTGTGACGTCATTCACAATGTGAGCACCCATTCGTGACCAACTCGTGTTTTTCCGGGACAAGCCGAAGAGCGACTCGTGACCCTCTCATGGCCATTTTTGCGACCGGGTTCCGTCTTAGCGCAAACGGGCATACCTTAAACAATTGTCAACTCAGTTAACTGTACCTTGGGTATATTTTTAGATGCAAGACATATGTAAAATCAAAAATTATTTCTGAGGGATTCTTTGACGAAGAACTTGAAATCATACGCGCATTCTGATTGGTTGGTCGTATTTTCGCACATAACATTCACCGTTAGGGGGGACGAGTCATCTTGAAGGTTACGGTGAGTGGTGACGAATTTGTGAGCACCGTCCAATCTCACGTTCGGCTATTTCCGTCAAGCCCGGAAAAAAAAGTCACTGGTTATGTCAGCGCCAGAACACTGTCGCTTAGGCGCCGCAATTTGATGTGCAGAGTTGAGTCCCTTGGGCTTGAGAGAAACATATGATCCAACCTCTGTGAACCTATGGGTTCGAATTCCGGATTGTATTTTTAGGTTTGCCATCATCATACCCGTATTCGTGAGTTTCCCCCAAGTGGTAAACGTCTAAGACCTGCATTACTCCGGGTATCCAGCAGCATAGAACTGACAGGCCGTATTATAACTGGAATACTGGTCATTAAGCGGCGTTAAACCAAACTCACTCACACACGTTGTTTATTGGGACCCTGTGTTTCACTAAAACGTATGTTGTATATGGGTATATACAAAAAAAAAGAAATGTCAGGCTGCCATCAGGACCCACAGACTTTAGAACCTTCAGGCCCTGACTAAACTCTTCCGGGAATCCTATTATAAAAAGCGGCAGCTAATCGTGACAAATAAATTGACACGTACATTTACTGCTTGTCACAAGGACAGATGCATATTTGGAACAACGGGCCCGCCACGAGATCTACCCGACACGGGCTTACGGGAAGGTGCACCAGCACAATAATACTGGTACCATGGAATATTGCTCATCAAGGTTCCTTCCAACAGAAAGTGAGTAATGCTGGTTTAACACGGTAACCTGGACGACACGCTTACAGGTAATTGACTTTTGTCTTTAAACAGATAACGATACACACCACTCACAAAACGTCATTTTAACCTGTTTGCATTGATCCTATAGGTAAACGTATACAGATGATATGTCATCGAGTGACGGTCGGGAAGGGAGATGAGAGAAACATGATATTTCACGAGACACATGGAATATAATATTTATTACATACTTATATACTTTAGAGTAGTTGTGTACCGGATTTTTTTTTATATTACAAATGTAAAACCGTGAAACGTAAATTATCGTTTCACAACCCCTTGTATTTGCGACTCAAAAGGTAGTCCCTAGTTTGCAAAATCTTAAAAATATAAACAAAAGAATTAAAAAATATTTGAGGTCACTTAAATTCTTCATCATACACTTGGATATGATTATACACATTCTACAATATTCTTGAAAGCAACGAGACAAACATGGCGCTTTGCGAAACGAACAGTCACTATAGACGAGTTAAATGAGATATTTACAGTTTATAACGAAACATTTTCGAGAGAAAAACAAGCGACATTAACGCCATAAATGACCATCTGTCATTTATTTGCCTTGTCAATGTGGAACAAACGTAAAAAGGAAGTCAACAGTTTGTGTACAGGCCGGCCACATACCATAAAGGGAGACAACTGACGGGGAGGTAGCTCTTGTATAACAGTGTATGTTCACTGCAGTGAAATATCAAGTGTTATGTTATGTGATTGTGTGTGTGTGATTTTGTGTGTGTGAGTGTGTGTGTGTTAGTGAGTGTGTGTGAGTGTGTGTGTGTGTGTTGGTATCGATCTTAGATATGTTTTAACCTGAAGTTACTAAACCAGATATATTTTTATTTAAAACTATGAGCCTGAATTTTTTGTGTGTTAAAAACACCTTGCCACAAAGTTATTTTTTTTGTGGCAGGCAGGTTTTTTTCCGACAGGCTGAAGCATATTTCTCCCCACTCACCCAGAATAACAAATGGTCCGCCCCTTATCCATACCAAGAAAGCCCGTGAAGATCCGGGTTAGGGTTGGTCTTCAGCAACCAATGCTTGTCGTAAGTGGGATGTAACGGGATCAGGTGGTCAGGCTCGCTGACTTTGTTGATGCATGTCATCGTATCCCAATTGGGTATATCGATGTTCATGATGTCAATCACTGGATTGTTTGGTCCAGACTCGATAATTTACAGACCGAAGTTACATATCAATAATATTGCTGAGTGCAGTCTTAAACAACGAACAAACATGTAAAGAATATCCTATCTGAGAGCATGTATGTAACTTAATATAAACTTATACAACACTTTAATGTGATCATTAAACACAATGCACGATATAGCATAGCCACAAGAAATATCGTTTATAGAGCCAAGCAACTACATTCAAATTGAAAAGGCGCCCCAATGGGATGGGAGATTCAGAACCTGTGAAAAATCTAGACTGCTTCGTTTACAGCTCTAGAATTGCAGCTAGGGCACGGCGAAAGGGAACACAGCATGGTTTAGGGACTGTGAAACAGACTAGATCAGCAGATCAGTTCTCTAAAAAGTTGAGCAGTCTCAGATGAAAGATCTGCATACGGTCAACAAGTCCAGTTGCTCAGGATTGACCAGCTACCAGACGAAGTGGATAATGATTGTCATGTACATGTATGTAACACTGAAATATATATTTATCATATAATGGGTAGGTTTCTCGGCAGGATAAAGCCAATAGTCTACAACGGATAAAAACGATATCCGTTGGGGTCATATGCGGATAGAGATGCAAATATCAAAGGTCAAGTAGGACTACTTTCAGTGTTTATAAACAAACATGGCGTCGTCCTCGTCATTCGGCGATCGCGTCAGAATTAACCATCGGAATCTGGATAAACTACTGGGATAATTGCTATCATTATCAAAAGAACAGTCTAATATACTAAAAATCAGTGTCTAACTGTGACGTAGCTAAGGCATTTTATAACTTTTGGCAACTTTGGAGATATATATTTCGAAACAGTTTTGCGAGGGCACGAGGCCTAGCCAAGCGGGATCAGTAGCCATATCTGTGCTTGTAGACCTCTGCGGCTTGAAACCTTCTCTACAAATTAAAATAGTTGGATTTATCCGAAATATGTTTGAATTGTTACCTTGTTTCGTTTTGTCGCTGTGTGTACATCTGACTACACTTCTTAACGTTATGACAGGACAGACCGACTGTCAACAACGTCTGACCGTGGCCGTGACGTCTCATAGAATAGGGTTAGAGTAGCTTCCCTTTGACAAAGGGCAGTTACTCTAGCGGAAAGACCGATGGATTGCCGCGTAAGGCAATTAAAAACAATTGTTGTTTTGCGTATATGTTGCTCCACCACTGTATAAGAAACAGATTTCAGTTGGAACTATATTGGCTACTGTCACTGTCCGACTGACACATCACTTACCCTGTGACGTAATAAATAATAATGCGCGCATTCCAGGAAAACTCGCAATGTTTCGGTAATGTTTGTGAGAGAGGGAAAGCGATTTTAAAGCACAGATTTAAAGAATGACATTATATGATAAAGAGGTTATCACGCTTGTGTGTCTGGGGATGGTAGATATCCTATATTAGGAATAAACACTATGTATTTAGCTCGCGAAGGCTCGCTAAATACAACGTTTATTCCTAATGCTGGATATTTACCATCCCCAAACACACTCGCGTGATAACCTCTATATATCCCACTGAGACACGAGACCTGTCCATCAGTTGTAAAATAGTCACACAGCTCGTCTCAGCAATATCACCATATTATCAGTAATGTCTCTTCAGCAGTTTTACTACATGATCAGTAGACCCACTTCAGCAGTACCACCGCATGATCGCTAGACTTACTTACATTTTTATGAGGTAATTTAAAGTTGCCGTAAATGGGCGAATTAAAAAAACAAAACAACACAAAACGTAATAGATCAGTAAGTATAATCATCGCCAGCTCAATTCTACAATTCAAGGAGACTTACAAATTAAATTCAAATTTACATATATTGTGGTGATCAAATGAAAGCTACAATATTTCACGTGGACATGTTCATACACTGTGTAGAAAGGGTTTTCATAAAACGATTGAATATATCTTAATGCAATTGGCGAACTCTTCTTGAGAATCTTAGTGACCGTTTAGGAACACTTTGGCCGCTCTGGGTGTCCTTCGACGTGAGTTCTATGCCAGGAGTGACATTGCCCTTGCGTCCAGTTGTGGTCTTCACCTTGCTGTCCCCACAAGAAGAGGGTGTGTCCCTATTTTGTGCAGGCTGGACCGTGCATGGAACTTTGCTTTTTGTATATCCAGTATACGGTCTGTGTGCCTTCTTTGGGTGGGCTGGAGGAGCTATTGTCGGGAAACTGGCCTTAATCTTGCCTGGAGTGTGACAGGTCAGAGGCAGAGCCTTGGGATGGAGGGTTGCAAGCTGGAGGGAAGATCTGAGGTTCCTAAGCTCTTCCTCCAACTTCTTCCTCTGCTCCACCTCCGCCTGCTTCTCCTTCTCCCAGCTGCTGGCGAGCTCCTCCATCGTCTTCCTCACTTCCTGCAGCTCCGCATGCTCCATTGTTAAACTGAGCTTGTAGTTGAGATATTCTACACGGAACTCGCGTCTTTCTTCTTGAGCCTTCAGTCTTAGCTCACGTTCATGTCGGAGCTCGCAGCTCTGTCGCTCATTCATTTGGCGCAGCCTCTGATTTTCTATGAAAAGTTGATCAAGGAGGCTGAGGAAGAGAAAAAGATTGCATCAGAATATACTGATTATAGAGAAAATACCATGACATATAGTCAGAAGTTTAACTTTGTTAATTTTTGCGCAGAGCAATAAAAAATCATAGTTCTGCTTGCTGTGTCTAATCGCGGCGCAGTTTAATCACATGATCTTCATTATATGCATGTATGACTTATTTATAAATCATGCCACTGGTGAACTAAGAGATGGCCACACATGATTCTGCTTACCTCTCCTCCGTGTCTCCAATTTGTGATTTTAGATCCATGTATTGACCTAAAAAACAAAGACGTGAATTGTGTACAACCTCGGGAAACAAGTTCCACATCTGCACGTTACGAAGTTGAGTGTACGCAACAGCAAGTCCCTCCTGAATGTCCATGTATTGATAAACATTCTACATCCGCTACCTACAATACTTTCAATCCAATTTAGATGACTCTTACACAAAACAGTCTAAGTTATTCGAAAACTTACAACCTGAAACTGTTATCCTTAAAGTTGTATGTTTTCGTATTTATTCACCAACTTCTAGAATGCCAGTTGATCTAAATTATGTTTCACTTTTCCATGGCAAATACTTCAATTCCAACAGTTGATGACCTACCGAGTAAATCATCGTGCAGTGTGGTTGATCCTGGACTTGACGGACAAGACTCTCTCTCTTCCGTCTCGAGGATGGGAGAGAGTAGCTTTCGTTGTTTCAAAGCCATCTGTTGATTGATAAATATTTTGTGTTTTAGCTTTTCGGAATTTGAACAACAACTTTGCTAACTGCCAGTTCATATCAGCACACTTTTGTACGCATTTTCGCAATTTGGCAGCAAATGTAGCTGAGCTCTAAAGTCAAAGTATTTCTGTGTAACGACACTTAATTCGTAGCGGAAATACATTAAGTCAGCTTGAATAAATTAAATAGATTTGCTTACCTCATCAGCAGTAGTTGGAAGTTATGGGATGAATAATCAAACAGTAACAGTCAACACGTCAACAGTAACAAATTCTGATCTTCGTGACACGCAAGACATGTACGTCTGAACACAAAGACAGTGTGATGTGAACAGAGGGCTTGGGATCAGGAACGTCGTCATGGAACCATTCTATGACGTCATTACTACTGTGACGTCATTCACAATGTGAGCACCCATTCGTGACCAACTCGTGTTTTTCCGGGACAAGCCGAAGAGCGACTCGTGACCCTCTCATGGCCATTTTTGCGACCGGGTTCCGTCTTAGCGCAAACGGGCATACCTTAAACAATTGTCAACTCAGTTAACTGTACCTTGGGTATATTTTTAGATGCAAGACATATGTAAAATCAAAAATTATTTCTGAGGGATTCTTTGACGAAGAACTTGAAATCATACGCGCATTCTGATTGGTTGGTCGTATTTTCGCACATAACATTCACCGTTAGGGGGACGAGTCATCTTGAAGGTTACGGTGAGTGGTGACGAATTTGTGAGCACCGTCCAATCTCACGTTCGGCTATTTCCGTCAAGCCCGGAAAAAAAAGTCACTGGTTATGTCAGCGCCAGAACACTGTCGCTTAGGCGCCGCAATTTGATGTGCAGAGTTGAGTCCCTTGGGCTTGAGAGAAACATATGATCCAACCTCTGTGAACCTATGGGTTCGAATTCCGGATTGTATTTTTAGGTTTGCCATCATCATACCCGTATTCGTGAGTTTCCCCCAAGTGGTAAACGTCTAAGACCTGCATTACTCCGGGTATCCAGCCGCATAGAACTGACAGGCCGTATTATAACTGGAATACTGGTCATTAAGCGGCGTTAAACCAAACTCACTCACACACGTTGTTTATTGGGGCACTGTGTTTCACTAAAACGTATGTTGTGTATTGTGAAGATCGGAAAAGGAGATATTTTCACGAGTGGCGATGAGAGAAACATAATATTTCACGAGACACATGGAATATGCTATTTATGTACCGGATTTATTACAAATGTAAAACCGTGAAACGTAAATTCTCCCTACCTAACACGCATGGTCGTTTCACAAAACCTTATATTTGCGACTCAAAAGGTAGTCCCGAGTTTGCAAAATCTTAAAAATATGAACAAAAGAATTGAATAATATTTGAGGTCACTAAAATTCTTCATCATTCATTTGGATATGATTATACACAAAATCAACTTAAAATCAAAATCAAAATATTCTTGAAAGCAACGAGACAAGCATGGCGCTTTGCGAAACGAACAAACACTATTGACGAGTTAAATGAGACATTTACAGTTTATAAGGAAACATTTTCCAACGAAAAACAAGTGACATTAACGAGGTACAAAGGTAAAGAAAGGAAGTCAACAGTTTGTGTAAAGGCCGGACACATACGATAAAGGGAGACAATTTACGGGGAGGTAGCTCTTGTATAACAATGTATGTAAACTGCAGTGAAATATCAAGCGCTATGATCACTGCAAAGAGAATATCACGTTTCTCACTGAATTATATAATATAACACATATTATCATGGACCAACCATTTGATATTCGTGTGTGCGTGCGTTAGTGTTAGAGTGTGTGTGTGTGTGTGTGTGTGTGTGTGCTAGTATCGATATTAGATATGGTTAACCTAAAGCTACTAAACCGGATATATTTTTATTTGAAACTATGATCCTGATTTTTTGTAAAAAAACATTGCAACAAAGTTAAAAAAAAATTAGTAGCAGGCAGTTTTTTCCCCGCCAGACTGAAGCATAATTCATCCCCCTCACCCAGAATAACAAATGGTCGGTCAATTATCCATACATGCACAAAGAAAGCCCGTGAAGATCCGGGTTAGAGTTGGTCTTCAGCAACCAATGCTTGTAGTAAGTGGGATCTAACGGGATCGGGTGGTTAGGTTCGCTGACTTTGTTGATGCATGTCATCGTATCCCAATTGGGTATATCGATGTTCATGATGTCAATCACTGGATTGTTTGGTCCAGACTCGATAACTTACAGACCGCAGTTACATATCAATAATATTGCTGAGTGCAGTCTTAAACAACGAACAAACATGTAAAAAAATATCCTATCTGAGGGCATGTATGTAACTTATACAACACTTTAATGTGATCATTAAACACAATGCACGATATAGCACAGACACAAAAAATATCGTTTATAGAGCCAAGCAACTACATTTAAATTGAAAAGGGGCCCCAGTGGGATGGGAGATTCAGAACCTGTGGAAATCTAGACTGCTTCAATTACAGTTGTAGCATTGCAGTAAGGGCTTGGCAAAAGGGAACACAATATGGTTTGGGATCTGGATACAGCAGATCAGCTCTCTAAGAAGTTGAGCAGTCTCAGATAAAAGATCTGCATACGGTCAACAAGTCCAGTTGGGCAGGATTGACCAGGTACCAGTCGAAGTGGATGGTGATTGCCATGTACATGTATGTAACACTGATTTATTCACACTATATATCCCACTGAGACGCGAGACCTGTCCATCAGTTGTAAAATAGTCACACAGCTCGTCTCTGAAATCTGCCGCCATGTCAGAGCTGTGTCACCCACCCTGATTTGAGATATTCCACCTGAGTTTCTCTGAGCCTCCGTTCACCATGTACCAGATTAGAAGTTTCAACATCGTCAATATCAGATGTGCCCGGTGGAGAGTATACTGGTCTGGATGTTTCCAAGTGTCGAACACATGATGCAGGCGCCACCTTCATCTCCACGCGAGGTTGTAAACTCATGGGACGTTTGAAAACTTCAACCCCCTGCTTAAATTTCAAAAATACTTTTAATAAGTCGTCTAACTCCTTAACACGTATCAACACTGCCCGGGGACAGAATGCCCATAGTGACAGTCGGTCATATATCGTTATATTCCAATCTGTTGTGTCGTAAAAAACATCTGTTTGAAATTCTTTCACACAAAATCCGCGTCATTGATTGTAAACGCCTTGTCCTCTATATACTGTTTGTGTCGTCTGCTTGGACAGGTCTTCAGTTCAGTGTTTAAACACACGCCCCTGAAGAACGCGAGGACAAGCAGCATCAGCAGCAGACACACAGACAGACACGCGATGAGCATCCAGATCCCGGGGACCAGGCGGAGGGCCTCGATCTCGTCTGAGGGTGAACAAGACGGATCTAAAAGAAATGTAAACGACATAAATACATAATTTAAAGTTTGTCTAAACTGTTATTCTGATTAAATTGCCTGCATTAAAATAAGAAACTCATGCATGAGATATATTCACTATCGGTGTGGGGAATCGAACCCATATTTGTCGCGTAGCGAACGAAAGGTTTAACGTCTGGGCTATCTCACCAACTCAGGCAGCAAAGTGCAGTGATATTATAGCATAGCTCTGAGGCTTATAACTTTACATGCAATGGTATTACCGTATATATGTTAATATATATTATTTAAAATGTTGATTTGCAATTTATGGTCAAAATGAAGTTTCAGTTAAGTGATTAAGTTTTCATTGTTTATCTTCCTATATGTAAATACCTTGACAAACAGGTTGCCACTCGTCTGCCATACCCCGTCCAGTACTCACGTACACCCCACACTAGGCCCAGATACACCGGCAGTCTTCACCGACCTGCAACCTTAACGACCTGGAGTAACTCTGAAAGTATATTTTCATCAGCAATTCAATCTTCACTGGGTGGTGTTGTTTTAATATATATATTGTATTTGTCCATGTTTTGTTGAGAAGTACATTTCGGATGAGTGAGTTAATTGTGTCTTACGCCGATTTTAGCAATATTCCAGCAATATCACGGTGGGGGACACCAGAAATGGGCCTCACACATTGTACACATGTCGGGAATCGAACCCGGTCTTAGGCGTGACGAGCGAACGCTTTAACCACTAGACTACCCGACCACTCCCACATCTCGGATTAAAAAAGGGATGTGAAAGAGATCCTAGTGGAAGTGATGGGGCGGTATGTTCATGGCAATTATGAACTGGCGGTCACGCACCGGGAATATTAACATCTTATATAAGATAGCTACGCGATAAATAACCAAGAACAAGAACGAAGTATGGTTTATTTAAGAAATAAACGACGAGTGGGAGTTGTTTATCGTACAATAAAACACTGTTTAAAAGCTTGTACATTATAGTAACATCCTTAAAGAGGCTGTATATAATATTGATATCTCATAAAAGAAATAATCGACTCGTGGTCGTTGATTATCGTACAATAAAACACTGCAGGGAGAATAAACAGCTCGGGGCTGCGTCCATCATGGTTTATTCTCCGTTCAGTGTTTATTGTACGATAAACAACTCCCACTAGTCGTTCATATCTTAAATATAGGAGCAGTACATCCTCAACGCGTAATAGTTCAGCTAATAATTAAACTACATTCAATTTCTCAGATTATTTAACTGGCTTCTTGCATGTATCGTTCCAAGCCGAAAAGCTTCGTAACTTTTTTTACCTAACGAGTTTGTTGTATTCAGACTGAAAATAATTGAAAAATTCTATATTTGATGGCCAATAATGATAATTAGGGATAAACTAAACTTTGAACACCAAGAGAATATTGTATGATTCTTATATATCGCCGGTAATATGTCTACGCCTACCAGTCTGAATGTAATATAACTACTGGGGAAAAAGAAGTTTGATTTGTCCGAAAATTTACAAACTGTAACAAAACGTTTCTAGGCTGACAACAGTCGCCGAAACACTGCAAATCTAAGGTCCAAAACACAACTCGGTATCGATACCGGTATCAAATACATCTCCATCGAATAACCATTTCTTGTTGGTTTCATTTTTAGCCACCATCAAACATGGGTGTATACTTACTTTAGCCCGGTAGTTTATATGAAGTAGCACGTAAGCAACGCAATTCGATGGTTATTAATATTACTTACCTTTCATAAACAATATTTATATGTAGCACGCGGTCTTTACTTAGTACGAGGACCTGGGATCTCCCAAGGCCAGTCAGTCATTTAAGCTTTGAGCATGAACTGATACATGGAGGCTAGCGCATTATGAGTGCACATTATTATAATTATTATTATTATTTCCTCCCCATGCAGATCCGGGTTAGGATTGGTCTTCAGCAACCCATGCATATGTCGTAAGAGGCGATTAACGGGGTCTGGTGGTCAGTCTCGGTGACTTGGTTGATGCGCGTCATCGTATCCCAATTGCGTACATCGATGCTCATGATGTCAATCACTGGCTTTTCTGGTGCAGACTCGATTTGTTTACAGGCCGCCGGGCCGTAGCTGGAATATTGCTGCTGAGTACGACGTTAAACATCAAACAAACAAATATACATATATCCGGCAAACTTTGTCCTGGTTGTTGTAGAGGTCTAAAAAAAAAATTGTTTTATCCAAAATAGATCATGAATGTAGGGAGAACATTCTGTTGTTTCGCTGACCTACATGGTTTATCGGTTGACAAATTAAAGAGGAAATAAAGTCTTCAATACAGACAAACCTCGTGTTTCCCCATGTTTGCCGCATATTTCACTTTTCTAAGTTCTCACTGACCCACTGATAAACAAGTACGTTTATACAGCTAAAAGGACGTAAGATAAGGGCGTTTTGGGGCCCACTGGTATACAACTTATCTGACATGTTAAACAAGGTTTTTTCTCTCCTACACTTGCGACCGCATCCTTTGTCTAGTGGTAGAGCGCCGGGGTTCGACCCGCATCACACCAAATGACGTTAAAAGATGGTACTTGTTACCCTGCCTGGCACTCGGCATTAAGAGGCTAAAACAAGGACTGGTCGGAACTGTGGCTGAGTGGGATATTCATGTTAAACTGCAGCATGGTATCTCAGTGAGCTAGCACTATAAATCGGCATCAGTCCGGACTAGTACAAGCAGATACACACACACACGCACACACGCACGCACGCACGCACACGCACGCGTGTTTGCACATCGCTATATAAGTGCAATAATCTTCGACGCGACGTTAAACCCCATTTCCCCTCACCTTTCCCAGGTGAGTCAGGTCATGGAGCCAACCGATCCTCCTTTTAGTCATATCTTACGACAATCATGGGGCGATTTCTCAAATGACAAGACACTAATCAATTAGCAAAAATTCAGATCGATTTACCTGAACACAATTGGAAACTGTCGTCTGCTGTTCCCTCCATATATTGAAACAAAACAATCAAATTGCACGTGCATCCAAGTATGTGTTGTCCGGGCAACGAGTGACGTCGCGTGTGCAACCGTATATCTGTAATATTACGACACCCTGCACAAGGAATATTGTCAACATGTATAGCTAACAATGTAAACACGTGGTTTTATGCCTGATGACGGGACTGTCAGGGACAGAAATAGAACCAGCTGAGATAGGATTTAAAAATGTGCACAGAGTGTGTGTCACCGATATTTCCGGTCTGATACATGTGTACTGACAGGTTTGTCAACAAAGGCTATCAGTGCGTTGTAGAAGGATTGCTGACACAGGCTGACCCAGTAATTCTTACGTAATTAATCTGTATTACACGGATAGAGGGGAGATTTGAATGTGTTCGTCACTGAATTTTGTGAGTGTATATTGTTCATCGCCTTATTCAGTAATATTTCGGATTTATCATGTCATAATTCTTTTATTTGAAGTTTACACGATATACAGCTTTTCGATTGGAAAAGAGGCCGGTCACATGACCGCGAAACTGACGTTTCTAAGCGTATGAACGACACAATTTATTCTTGAAATGACGTAAACACTGACGGACTACTTCCACAATCCTGGGGAAACCCCTGGGAATTCCCTTGAACGAATACATACATAAGCGTTGTTTCTGATCATTTCAATCTCATTAAAATCAGATCTGAGGACATCCCATTACGGGTGACGTCAGAACGACCTTTCATCTGACCAATCAAAGCGTCGCTTACTAGATCATGAAAGTGACAGTCGGAATTTATTTTTTTAAATCATGCAACCTCGAAAAGGTTAACACGGGGTATTCCGAACGACAGTTACGGCCCATACGACTGATTCCGTCAAAAGTATCGTCTATCTCTCGTTTCCGTGGGATAAACATTTGAACGGAGGAGGCGTTGCACAGTTCGTAAGAGATTCCGGAATGTTCGTTTGTTCAGTTTTCAAAACTGTGTCAACATATTTTTCAAGCGTAGTCTGAAATGGAAGTCGCCAGGTTGAAACGAGTACCGTAGAGCTCGAGAAAGCTGCTTTCTAATTGGCTGATGTCGACTTCTTGTTAGTCGTTTCAGTGGTCGGTCAAAGTTCGCGAAAGGTCGTCCTGACGTGACCCTTAATGGGATGCCCTCAGATCTTTGTTTAGCGCCAACAAGAACTCGGATCTGATTTTAATGAGATTGTGATCATTTAGACAATTTAATCTTAAACTCAGCTTTTTAGCATACGTTGAAAAACGTCAGAGAGATTGACTGCATGATCGTTCACGAATATCCATCCTCGCTACGACCCATCCTGGTGAACAAAACGTAGAACACATCCACTATCGTAGTATCGACTCCATCTATGTCTTGACTGACAATTACAGTCGACAGCAATCCAAGAAGCTACCTTAGTATTTATTTGAAACATCGTTATTCTTACCTTTCAGTGATCGGCCAACTGATCAAGTATGGTTCACACATGTAACCGCCACAGGTTCATTAACAACTTCGAGCGATGTTATCAGTTTCTCATTCTTCTAGTGGGCGATGTTATTGGCTATTGGCTACTCATATTAATTAGTGTCAGGACCTGCGCGGATCCGGGGTTGAATAGGTCTTCAGCAACCCATGCTTGCTGTAAAAAGCGACTCGGCTTGTCCTCAGAGGCGACTAACGGGATCGGGTGGTCAGGCTCGCTGACTTGGTTGATACATGTCATTGATCCCAATTGCGTGGATCGATGCTCATGATGTCAATCACTAGATTGTCTGGTGCAGACTCGATTATATACAGACCGCCGTCATATAGCTGGACCATTGCTGAGTGCGGCGTTTAACAACAAACAAACAAAACTAATTAGTGTCAGATTCGCAATTACTATAAAAAGGATATCCTTCTTTCTGACTGACTGATATGGATCTGGATCTTCTAGTGAGCGATGTTATTGGTTATGTTACTCATATTAATTAGTGTCTGATTCATAATTGCTATAAAAAGAACATCTGTTTTGTCTGACTGATCTGGAAGTTTTACAGGCGTTCGCACAACTAGGCCCTTGCCTATAATCAGCGTTTGCTAATTTTTTCAAAATTGTATAAAAGCAGACAAAAATGGCCATACCTTTGCCATATCAAGACTCACATTCTAAACTTCATGGGGAACGATAATCCTAGAACATAATAGACCAGCTAGTGAGAGGTCACTATTGAGGACTTTGAGAGACCTGTCATTTTCAAGCGTATTACCAACTGTACAATTTGAGTCTTTATTGAGAGTCTTGGCATGTGCATTAGGACCACAATGCTCGAGGCGATATCTAATTGAGAGAACCTCATTTCTCCGTTTGTTTCCAGATATTAATGTTTGTCAGCCCAAGACAGCGAAACGCCTGTAAAATGTTCATGGATGCATCAGTTAGCCGGGCTCCAGCCTGTCTCGTGTAGTGCGCATGATCAGAAAGGCATGTTTGTGGCATCTTTAGTCAGATGATTTCCTTCTATTTAGTAGACACATCAGTAGATGATTCATTATATGGTGGGAATTATATCGCTAGCTTATACATTACATTGCTCTTAGCGGTGGCATTTTCAGTAATTCTAGCCAACAATAAAATGTCGCCCTCAATTTGGTGGACAATACGTCTTTGACACTCACTAAGATATATGTTCATTGCTGTTCCGACATACCAGAGTGAGTAACCTATAAAGCCAAGTCTACACTTTTGCCGCTGTCATAGAGCTGGAATGCTGAACACGGCGTTTAACAAACTTTCTCATCTCGTATGACATATGACATGTGTAAGGGCCTTTGAGTTTGAGAACATTCTTTATCGTTATATTACATTTTTCATGTTGGAACGAGATTTTAATAAGACAGCCTCATGTTTTAGATCCTTACCATTTCCGTACGGGGTTAAAGCAGCCCCCCCAGCAACAAATGCTGGTCTGCGACTTGGATAGGATACTCAGGATCAGTGACGTTGTTGATGACGTCGTACACTGACGGCGTGGGTCGTGTTCATAATACCAGTCACATGTTTGTCTGGTCCAGACACGATTGCTTGCGGCCCGCCGTAATATAGCTGGAATATTGCTGAGTGCGGCGTAAAACAACAAACAAAAAATACATAAGAAAGGCGTGCACTCTCCAAGTCTGAGAAGGCACTTTATACTTATCAGTATGTAATAATACCAATCATGTATATTCACACTGTTATGTCTTCTGATAGTAAACCTGATATTTTACGTTACACTGCCTCAACGTGTGCGTGCGTGCTATTCCGGTTTTATAGAGCCAGACCACTAACATACCCTGCCACAAATTAACAGGTACTCAACTCAGAAAAGAAGTACCGTATTCGACGTAATAAGCGCCCGGCTCTAATAAGCGCCCACAGCGTTATTTGCTAATATAATGGTTAGTGAACAATCCCAGTTGGCACCCTTTCCGTTTGATCAATGTACACAAGACTTATTTATTCGTGTATAATACGCACTCATTTGTTATATGCATTATGCACCCTTAATAATGGGCAATTGAATTCTCGAAAATATATCTATCGTGTATAATACACACAGATTCTTCTTTCATATCATTTCAGGCTGTCCGCATAAACCAAAAAATTTACAATCGTTTTTAATCTCACCAAAATTATATTCTAATAAGAGCACCCTATTTTTAATTTTGAGATCGCCCTGGGCGCTTATTACTTCGAATACGGTATACCGATTCCGAGCCGACCAGTCCTTGTTTGAGCCCTTTAATGCCCAGCTCCAGCCTAGGTAACAATAAGTACCATCCTTTGGTATGACGCCGCTGGGAATCGAACCCCGGACATTCCGCTCCCTGGGCAGAAGCTCTTTCCACTAGACCACGGAAGCGGTCAGATGGTATCAGGGATGAAAGCATATAGATACAGGTTTAAGTGTCTGAAAAATGACGGATATTTTCAGACGTTGTATTAATTCAGGAATGCACACGTGAAATGTCTTGTGAGTGAACGACATGGTGAAGCACCTTGAAGTAGGATCTGGCATTGATATGTCACAATCATGACCTACTTTCAGTGAATGTTTGATGCCATTTTGGCGTACATTGCAGTTACATCACGGCTTGACGGTGATATGGTGTTCACAAATAAAGAATCATAATCAGGATTTAAACTAACGACTAGCGGATCCTTTGATGGATAAGAGGCGACCTGCGCGACCATTTGACAATTTGATTAATTGTTTATGAGTTTGGCTGAACGCCTATCTAACTCGGTTAAATGTCGTTGTGTCGGAAATACGTGAGGGGAATCCGAAGTAATGAAGGTCTGGGACGTGTACCACTTTGGTGAAACCCGCGGGAATGGTGCCAACAAACGTAGAAACACCAGGGCAACCATACGTTCTGGCACGCCTAAGGGACGCAACTCTGCACACTTAATTGCGGCGGACCCGTGAAGATGCGGGTTATAATAGGTCTTCAGCAACCCATGCTGGCCGTAAAAGGGAACTTTGCTTGTAAGAGGCGACTAACGGGATCGGGTGTTCAGGCTCGCTGACTTAGTTGATGCATGTCATCATATCCCAAGTCCGAAGATCGATGCTCATGATGTCACTCACTGGATTGTCTGGTCCAGACTCGATTATTTACAGGCCGCCGTCAATATTACTGAGTGCGGCGTTAAACAAGCAAACCACTTCAAGGGTAGGTAGTGCACCACTGACTGCTGCGATAGTTGGGTGTATATTAGCCTGTATCATCGTGTAGTATTTACCAATTGAAGTAATCTATTACAAACATTTTCAGCAGCGTGTAACACCGATACTCTCAGTACATGGTCCAGTGTAACGATGTGACGCTTGCTGGTGTTGGTTATAACGGAGTGTATGCATTATATAAGCATGTCAGCTTTGATTTGGTTCAAGGTACTCCTCTTTCTTGTCGAGGTTTTTCAACATACAGCTGATGTGCAAAGTAATTCCACAGTTGCGCATTTAAAGTGGTGTATCCTCTGTATTATAGAACCTTTGGGACAAGCCAGAGATTCCAGTCATGTCAATACTACTTCTGGTTGTACATTCAATGAAAACCTGTGAATAATCACGTTTACTGTAACGTATTTTGTGTGGGTCTTTTTATCATGTGAAATATGGTTCTTTATAAGATGTTTTCTGTGTTATTATTGATCACCAATCAAGTGAAGCAACCAGGTTTGTGTAAATATCCTGGTGTTGAAACGTTCTTGCACTGTATTGACATTCTATGCGGACTTCATATTTTGGGTTATCTCCCTTTGACCACAAACCTGATTGAGAGTAGATTTTCAAATTGTACAATGGGAAAATGGTTATCTGCAGACAGAAACTCACATTACTTTTACAACAAAGGTACCTGGTCTAAAATCCTTAATGGTGCTTAGAGATGTGAAATGGTGGGATGATAGTTTGTTCAGAAACAACATCAACAGCAGCATAGAAGCTGTAGTTTCACTGTCTGTTGCTTGTGCAGATATGTTAGTATTCTTCTTATGGGAATGCATGTGTGCTGTCCTTGTTTGGTTGGCTAAAACATTTTAACAAGCTTTTTTCTTGTAATTCTTTTGAAACTCTTGATTGTTCAATTTGTTTGTTTTGTTGCTAAATGCCAAACTCAGCAATATTCCAACTATATGGTGGCCTGCAAATATGGGGAGCCAAGCCCAGACAATCCAGTGATTGATATTGCGAGCTATGACCCATGCTGTGTGGGCAGAATGACACACCATCAACCGAGTCACCAAGCTGACCACCCAATCCAATTGGTCACCTCTAACCACCAGTATATGTTGCTCGGGACCTATTCCGAACCGACCGCCTCCGTGGTCTTGTGGTAGAGCGTCCGCCCGGAGAGCGGAAGGTCCAGGGTTCGATCCCGGGCCGCGTCATACAAAAAGACGTTAAAAGATTGTACTTGTTGTTACCCTGTCTGGCGCTCGGCATTAAGGGGCTAAAACAAGGACTGGTCGGCTCGGAGTCAGTATACTGTGTCTGAGTGGGGTATTCATGTTAAACTGCGGCATGGTATCTCAGTGAGCTAGCACTATAAATCGGCATCAGTCCGGACTAGTACAAGCAGCCACACACACACATACACGTGCATGCACGTCGCTATATAAGTGCAATAATCTTGGACGCGACGTTAAACCCAATTTCACCTCACTATTCCGAACCAGAATCCCCTCACAGTTTGTTCTATTTGCAACCCCAAGTATGTAGTTGTATTTGATTTAGACATTCATATTAAATGGTTGTGGGTATATTTGGCATAAATTCTTCACTTTTTCATTTGCAGTCCATGGTGACTTCATGAACTGGGCCCTGTCCACAAACGGAACTCTCTGACAGTCAAAGTACTAAGATTGCTTTGTGAAATGACACCTGGACACTATAGTGTATGTTTGTGTTCCCTTCTTTCAACCATGTATAGGTGGCTACTGTCACAAACAAAAATGATGTAAATTTGTATTTTCAATTAAAATATTCACTCTACTTTAAGATGACCTATGGTCTTTAGCTACGGGTATAGCTCAATAATGTTTAAAATTTCAAGCGATAATGTCATCAATTTAATACAAGGCCGAAACGACAATGTCTAGATCCAGATTGTGGTGGCTACAGTTTCTCTCCGCACAACCTGGTCTTTTTCACACAGAAAAGTGAGCAAATCTGCAATATATATTTTCTTCTTATTATCTGTATTGAACCTATTTCATTGCAATGGGCTTCACTAAATCACAGATGATAGAAATCAGACCAGTTTGAGGATTGTACATCTGATGCAAATTAAACCAGGATACTGTTCCCCAGCAACAACCTTGGTTTTACAATTATATTTCCTATACTGTACATTTTAACATCATCTTACTTAAGGAAGAAAATTAATGGATGTCAACTTCTTTTTTATGAGGAACAGAATGTTTCGGAGTATGTGCTTACTCCATCAGGTGAAATGACATCACCAGATGAAGCAGTAAACTTATTCTCCGAAACGGTGTGTTCCTCATAAAAAAGAAGTTGACATCCATAAATTCTCTTCCTTATGTGTATCACTTCTAAATGCCTTTCAAAGACTTGATCAACTTACTCACTTACATTGTCATTTCGTCTGTGTTAAATTAGTGCCAAAATAGATTTGTGGGCCTGACCCTGGCCTAGATCCCCAAAGCAACCTGAGCAGAGATTATGGTAAGACTTTGTTAGAATATGAGAGCTGTGGTTGTCAAAGCCAAAAACACTACACAGAACTCTTGTTCCATACAGCAGTCTATGACATGACTATGGCAGTCTATGACATGACTATGGCAAATCTATGGTCATATGAAATACGCTATGCTTGTGTCATATTTTCTAAATGGAATGGATCCTGTATACATTGTCTCCTCCTGTGAATAATGAGGAAAGGACAGTAAAGTCAATGTTTAGTATGTGGATGTGAGGGATCTCACCAATGATTTACCATGTCTGTTGTTCATCAACTTCAGTTTGTCATCGTGAGGTCTAGGTCTGATGTATACATGAAGATTTGGTAATGTTGTATCGAAGACATAGAACATATATATGTCTGGTGATCTACATAATCGGAGCAGGCAATGCTCAAATACAGTTGTCTTGAATGAATCTTTCAATCATGTTTTCGTCCTAGCTCCTATTGCCAGTGTCTCGTATGACAAATTCAGAATAAGGATTTGACGTCCCAAGTGGGTTCAGTTCGTGGTCAAAGGGAACATGCCTTTTGATTTGGGTAGACTCTAATAATGTTCACATATTTTGTAATTGAGTCAACAGAATTTGTGTGTTGGAAAGTGTGTGAATGTAGAATCTGTAATGTTTGATAATGCATGTGCATTCATTATGTCTGAAGCAGCAAGTTAATGGCTATTACATCTATATCTCCATACACTGCCACCAGCAGAATACATCAACCGGACGTTCAGGCTTAATTACATCTGTGCCTTTTGTATTATCAAATCAGAATGAAGCGACTATACATTAAGAAAAAAGGTTTATGGGTGTGAAAACACTTTTCCCTAAACAATTTATTTATTTATCTATTAGGGTCAGCACATTTAATTAGATTTTTATTTTTTTATTGATACCGTCATCATATTTAATTAGATTGATTTATTCTTATTGATAACAATTTTAACAGATTACCTGAACATTTTGACATGTTTAGTGAGTCATAATGGTCTGTCAACATAACAATGTATGCATATTTTCCACGTCAATAAAAAGGTTAGTATATTCTGCAGAATTAAAGAATAAAAATGCTCCAGATTTCCCCCTTTTGCTTTAGGTTTGGCAGAAATCGCAATAGGAGAGAAAAACTGAATGAGAAAAACTGGTCCTCTTGTGATGACTTCTGTTTACCTTAATGTTTACTGTGAAAGCAACTGGCTACCCAAGAGGCAAATTTTTTAGTTTTTATGAGAAGAAACTAAAAAGTAGCCATCAATTATTTTCCCTTCTGTCGATAGTCCCTGACAAGAATGAAACTGACTCACATTCTTTCTGTTTCCCCAAAGAGTACCTACAAGGCAGTCTGGTCTGATTCATTTGCACTGGCTTAAGTCTTCTCACACTCAATAAGCTATATCAGCACACTTCATTATCATTCTGAGGCTTAAAGTTTGTACTGGATATATTTCTTTCCATAGCTCTAGAATTTTTACCCACCATTAGGTTTTCTTAATTTCTTTCAACATTGTATTATAAATACTCTAAAATAAATTCTGGTCAGAAGTCTTACATTGTGGGTTCTAGTTTTTAAAATTCAGTGTTCTATAGACTATTTTTTCCACATATATAGAAGTTCTTTTTTAACTTATGTCTTAAATATCTTTTAACATTGAATAATAATTATTCTGAATAATTAATTACTAGATTTAGCTACATCTTTAATTTTGGATTAAAAAGAATATTATATATAAATTATTTCAGTGTTTCACATATTTTCACATATAAATAGAATATTTACCCTGAAACATCTGGTTAGTAGCAAGTGTACACTAGATTTGCTGAGAATGGCCGTGTATGGTGGCGGCGACGGCGGCAGTGGCCTGCCAGGGTGATGATGGCTGCTGTATGGCAGTGGACAGAGATTCACATCATGCAATGGTGGTATCATGCAGTAACACTCCTTCCTTGCATGGCCGACTTTAACAACCATGACAACAGAAGTAAATCACTCACAACACATTGCATACTGCAGCTTATCAACCAATTCATTTTACAATCGAAGAGCTTAACTACAAAAACATGAACAGCTTTGATTTCATTGTACGCTCAGGCCAATTTGTCTTCTGGCTTAATGAAGTTGAACCAAAAGTATTTGTTTTTATAATACATAATTAAGGAATGGGTGTTTAATGAAATATATGCTCACAAGAATATTTCTTGGTGAACATGTTACGACTTTCGTTTCTGAAGAATTTAATCCCACTTAAATAAAGAAATTGTTGTGGAATAGTTGTACTTTCATTTCTTAAGAATCCCAGTTGAAAACAATTTTTTATATAGTTTTTCGTAACAATGTAAACAAGATAGCAATTGGTCGGGCGTAACTGATCATATTGTTGAAATAAATCTGTGACTTACAATCACTTACAGTCTATTGAAGCTGCAGTATTCAATGAGCTATGAGTGTTTCATGCAAAATACAATGTATGCTGAAATGCAAAGGGAGGTTACCACATTTCAGAAGATGATGCAGGTTAGTTTCATGGTTACCATGGAGACATGTATATTAATCTCCCATTCCCCGCCTCCTCAACATGCACATTGATGGAGAGGCATTCCAACATGCATGCAAACACCACAACAAGTCTAGTGATGCTAGTGCTAGATGGTCAGAAGGAACTGTTTATTGCATGAAAAAAGTGCTATATGGAAGGTCAAAGTGCAGAGAGTATACCAAAGAAAGCCAAAGGAGTCATCAGACAAATTACACTACATACACAAAACAGGCAATATGGGCATCGTATTCTACACTTGATTAAAAGCACATCGACAGAACAAACTGTGGCAACATTGTGGCAATATATATATACTTTTTCCACAACTCACTACAGCAAGGTTGATTATTATCCTTAGGTAATATTGAACTGTAAAAAAGTTTTCATTGTTCGCACAATAACAAATTCTATAGCTACTACAAATGTACTGCAAGTCTACAAGACAATATTGTGTAATACTATAAATAATGCAAAGAGCCACTATACTATTTTATTCATACAAGTAATGTTATATTAAGACATAACAAGGTCCATGGTGTTAAAAAACCAACACCATGCCACGTGATTTGATTGCAGCCTCGTACAGTAGCACTTATCATGCAAGGTAAACCATATGCCACACACCAATGTCAAGGTCACATAGCAATACACCACAAGATAATCAGACACGTTATGTCTCTCAAGCAATGCTGTTTTCAAAACCAATTCTTTCATAAATTGAGCAGTTTACGTGCACAGACAATATTGCCCTTCATTCCAACAAGCAAATGAAGTCAATTGGCCACATTTCAAAAATCATTTTCCGTCCTCTTGATTCCATATTTTGTGGCATACTGCTATCGATCATCTATCTGAGAGAACGAATCTCCTTCGAAGTGAGGCATTATGGAAAATAATAATCTCACACTAGGACAATGTGAATATGACTTCGCACAGTATGTAATAACACCATCAACCATTCCATTCACACCTACCCAATCATGTCGGGTTGGGTAGGACAAAATGCCTTGCATGCGCCCCATGCCATGCCACCATGGAAGAACTATATTGGCGGAGTAATGGCTGCCGCCGTGGATTTTGGGTAGCAGACTTGACAAGACTTGAGGAACATACCAATTTTCATGCACATACACTGTCAGGGCTTTCCTGATGTACCGTTCACCCTGTTTGAGGAGGGGGTTACAGGGAAGCTGGAAATATTATTTTCACAGGTTAGCAGTAACATTTTTTAGCCCAAAACTACACCAATTATTTACTAAAAGCCATATTGAATTTTAAACTTTAGGATTGATTACATTTTGCCGTTGCGCCAACATGTGAAAAGAATTATCGCCAACCTGCCCAGATTTTCAGTATTTGCTCTTGTTTTGATTTAGCTCATAACTTCTCAAATGCACATATAATACATAACAAAGTGTTCATAACTAAAACTATTTGGGGCTGAAAGAAAACCAAGGAGTATTTTAACTTGAGATGATGCATTAATAGTGATCAATCAAAAAATTAGTAAGAATTCCAAATCTAGTCACCATCGGTCCTTCACAAGATAAACCACGGATTTACACCAACAGGACAAAAAACATTACATGTTACAAACACAGATCACATCATTACACAATTTCTTGATTGATCAAGTAAACAGATTCAACTTTTGATTTTTAATAATTCAATGTTTTAATTGCGTATAATGCGCAAAAACCATATAAATAAATAGTTAAACAGAATTGGCAATAGAAATTCAAACTGTTTTAAAAAACTGAGATTTCAATGTGAAACAATAAATTCAACTTCGAATGTGGCATACAATAAGGCAGATATTAAAACCGGACACACTTTTTCCACTATCAGGATCTGATCAGCAAGTCCTGATTGAGGGCATTCAGACAGAGTTACCTACCCTTCATCATGTGGCATCTCGTCATACACGCAACACTTATCGATTTTTTGGATTTTGAATTTAGTGAAGAGCAAAGTTTGACAACTAAAAGCTGACAGTTTCAGAGAGAACATTCATATTTCTTGGAAGACTGTAATATAATGCTTGTCGTTATTTGACAACTCGTGGAAAGAGTATTTCAGTGTTAACATCCACCTTTCATTCAACCAACAGTGCTGACTAAAATATTTTGAGTTGTCCATCCTTGACTAATCTGTTAATGATGTAAATCCAATCCCACTTTTCCAGGAAAAGTCAAATGAAAACCCATTAATAAATCAATAATTTCAAAACAAAATGCCTTCTTTCAAAGAATTTTTATTATATTTCAATATCAACTTGAGATTCTGGGAAATTATCCAAGGGCAGACAACCCAAGAATGATGGAACCCCGATCTCCATCATAAATAGTCAATATGTAACATACAGCACTTGATATTCCTCAAAAAGTAATCAAGGCAAGAATGTTTTGGCAAGGAAATGCGTCTGAATAATGTTTGTAATTGAAATTAGACCCAAACTTTTCAATGACCTTAACAAAGATTCTCCAGCACCCTGTTACTTGAATTGCAACGAGGAAGAAATATTGGAACCTCAACAAGTATTTTCAATCTTAGCACCAATCTTTTCGTGACAAATTCTTCTCCACTCACTCATCCATACATCTCTCATACATTCCTATGGTACAATAACTAATGGGTCTCTGTTACCTTTACACAACCTTTGCACACTGCCATCTCAGGGATTCTAGACCTGATTAACAAATTGAACCTTTTTCAATTTTCGAACATCTATAACCAAAAGGCAAACTATGAAGTAACATGTAATCTTTTACACAATGTTACTACATAAATACACACCACTTTTGGGCAATTCTGGTACTGGCAAAGGGTTGTAAGCGTAACAAAGCCTGGATGTTTACTTACAGAATGAACTACTGATGGTTTCATTGTCGGCAAACCCTGCAATGTCTGGATCACATCGCAACTTTGCCGTTGAACATTTCCAGCTCAAATGTGAAAGTCACACAAAGACAGACACGGCACGAGACAAAAGATTAGATAAAGATATAAATAAGTTTTGAAGACGTAGACAACTTGCTTTCTGACTTTCACATATGATCCAATGAAATGTGTAATGGCCCTTGCAACAATAACGATGCACAAAACAGCAAATACATGGGGTAGAAAGTATCGACTAGATATGGAGTGTAAATGCTACAATATAGAATTTTGACTTACAATCTCTAAATGATGAACTACATTTCGTATAAACAGTTTTGTGCATATATTGTTAATAATATATCACAAAAATAACCATGTGCCCAACCATGGCAGCTCATGAAATTTCTTGAAATCATGATTTGAAATTGGCTTCACTAAACAACACTACAATCTATATCCTATAAGCAGAACAGGGTCAAGAGCATGGTGGAAAGGATGGGCACACTGTTATCATCATTCTGGGCAGTAAGAAGCTCCAATTACTTGTAGGTCGATATCCTGTGGTAACGCAGGATGATCTATTTTGGCATCGAAGAAGTTTGACGACAAACTATCACTTACCATGAAGCCAGCCCCAGCTTCGTGATAATGGTAACTGACTACTGGAACATATCTTTATACAGTGACTTGGTTTCAACATTGCACGATTGTGTTACCTGGTTGGAACACTGTGGCACTGCAAAAACACAGCTGTCTGTGTGGAGGTGCTAGGGGGCACCTGCTAAGTGGGTTCAAATATATGCGCAGATATATATATGAAGCAGTCCATACGGACACAAAGTTTGTCAATGCCAGTACTGGCCCAACTGACGACTATCCTCGAAGTGAAGGTATGAGATGACTATATACTTGTTCACTCCATATTACCTGGTCCTATAATACTTGAGATTCATCAACAGATCAGCACTTGAAGTCCCCGTGTCCCAATCTACAGCCCTCAATGAGTTGTTAAAGAATGATTATTTACACTTAAAAACAGAGTAATGCTCATTAAAATGCTTGAGGCAACAGAAGAACAAGAAGATGTCAGCTGTGTCTATGCACCAGGCTATGAGTGTAAGACGTGTATCAAAATTTTGGCAAAGATGAGTATGTACAATGTGCGAAGACTAGGATTCAGTAATAATATGAAGTGAACAGCTGGGAACAAGATAATGAAGAACAATGCAGGATTGTCGGAAACAAGGAGGGACTTTTCAACAGTTTTACAAAACTTTCACAACGGATTTCAATTTTGGATTTTTTGTACAACATGTTGAAAGAGCCAAAACTACAATGCTACAGAAAGCAACATCTACAGAAGTTGATAAAGCATGGGTGGCGACTTCGCACCCAAATTATACAGGTCTGTATAGGACAGGCTAAAAAATTAAAGTGTCTGTGTTGAAATTGTCCCTCTCTGATGCAACACTTGTGCTGAGTATGCATACTTCCGTCAAGCAAGACAACAGCAAACCAAATGACTGGTATTCGTCTGCCATAGCACGTTCAGAATAGCCGAAGCTGACTTCGGGACAGCTGAGTAACGCAAGTAGCTCTAACATAGTACAAATAAAATAACAACTTAAGAGGTAAAAGTAGATACATAACATGTACAAATGACTAGATGTGTTTGTTCAAAAATAAAGCTTGCAGTATGAGTATTCTTGACATAGTTCTGGTTCCACCTTCGGTCATTTCTCCTTCCATGGTGTGGAGATAACAACAAGGCTCCGAGGTTGTCGCCAATGAGGAACATCGAAAACAGCAAAGCAAGGTTGCCAGCTGAATTGTAACAGCCATTGCACAAGATGTCAAGTTTCAGCATTTGGAAGTCACAGCTTCATCCCCTCTTCAGCCTCTTCTGGTCACATTACATGTACCATGACTAACCTCAGTCCCTGCCATTTTCATGCTTCTTGCAGATGTCACGAGTTAGTATGGTGCAAACCTTTGGTATCCTCCTCGGTAGACTGTAGCCTGCTGGCAGAAAAGAAGGCGTGAGATACTGAGTAACGGTCTCACTCGAAAATCATGCTTGTTTTCTGGGTAGAGAATCCCACCTTATATGATGGATGTTTGTTTAACTTGATACGGGAAGTTAATTCCCAAAATATGACATTTATTACCTCGCGCTGTGCGAAGATATCGGATGTTAGACTAAGGGGCAATCCCATCTCAGTTACCTGCTAAAAATAGATTCATCAGATTATTCTAAAAGTATGGCCAAATAACCCTGGGACATCAATAAACCCCCATTGAGGACACTTCATTGAGGAATGGTCGAATCTGAGCTGTTGTTTGTTGGATAGCAAACAAGTATGCTTAATCTTATTTGCATAAATACCCAATTGTTCATTTCAATCTTGAAATTAGTTGGCCATTAACATTACACTCTAGCTTTGTAATACAGCTAGTAACAACATTCTACTTCTATAACAAGCATGCACAATGGAGTGCACAATATAAATATTGCTGATCTGACAAATTAAACACAATGTGGTGTTTCTGTATGATGTGTTGAATGTAGAAACATGGAACATCAAGTACAAGCAAAGAATAAGGGAAAAACATAATGGAAATGTTTTACTATTTTGAAACATCAGCAGATGACAGTGAGCATTGAAATAAATACTGCAGTTGTAGTAACAAATAATAAAACAGAACAGAATATGAAGGAAATACATAAAAACAAACCAATTGCGAAATATACCACTTGAAATGCTGATGCACTGATAATAACTGAATATTATTTATAAACTACAAACCAAAGCCATGAAAGCTGCATATCAACTTACGCCATATCCAGTGACGGGACCAATACCATGTCCGAGGTAGGGGTCTGCGGCATACTCTCTCCCGTAACTGAAAAAGGTTTTGTCATGGATTACTTGTCATAATGTCAGATTATTATTTCTGTCATTTTCCTGTTTTATTCTGTTGTTTTTTTCCTCTTTGCATAAACCCTAATCCCTACCCAATAAGACCCAAGATGACGACACTATCTCAGTCAGCTCCTTGATCCACTAGTAAAATCTCAGCCGTCATATAGCTGGAATATTGCTGAGTGCGGCGTAAAACAACAAACAAACTAGTAAAATCTAAGATGGGCAAACAAGATCTGCTACACAGTTGCTATCTTGGAAATTTCACTACACCTTCCTGGGACAACCTGTCCAGGGCTAGCAGATATGTAAATTTCAACATGATGGCTATTGTTTCATATACTAAGGCTAAAATCTGAGAAACATCCCAGCTTAATATAAGATGTGGTGCTGGGTGAAGAGTTAGTTGGTTTGTGGTTTGCACTCGGCAATATTGCAGCTATATGATGGTGGTCTGTATATAATCGGTTCTGGACCAGTCAATCCAGTGATTGATATCATGAGCATCAATACACGCAACTAAGATACAATGCCACGAATCAACCAAGGCAGCGAGCCTGACCCCTCGATCCCGTTAGTCGCCTCTTACGACAAGCATAGTCGCCTTTTACGGCAAGCATGGGTTGCTGACGACCTATTCTAGCCCGGATCTTCACGGGTCCTGTGAAGAGAATGGGGGAGTGTTTACCCTGCAGGGTATGTGGCGGCTGTGGCTACAGCTGGAATTGCATATCTTGTGGCAGCTCCCGGATACCCTGCAGCCGCCGCGTATGGCTGAGTGGTCACCAACTGCAACACAACACACATGGACATCAAACGGGTTCGCCATGACTTCAATGAACTAGTAACACTTTGCAGTTTCACATCCTCTTAGCCGGTAATGTTAGCACATTTCTCTTGTAAGGAGTAAAGGAACATTCATAAATTCATAATCTTTAAACCTCGCTCATATTATCTCGTTAGAAAACCATACCACAGGCAGTAGAAGGTGGGCCCTGCTTTTAGATGTCACGAGCCACTTTGAGGTAATGTAAAGATTTCAACCAATGTTATCAAGGTATTTCCCTAAGTAGGAGTGAGTGAGTGAGTGAGTATGGTTTTACGCCGCTTTTAGCAATATTCCAGCAATATCACGGCGGGGGACACCAGAAATGGGCTTCACACATTGTGCCCACGTCGGGAACCCAGGTCTTCGGCGTGACGAGCTAACGCTTTAACCACTAGGCTACCCGACCGCCCTCCATAAGTAGGAAGCACTTGTGTGGGTTGTTGACCATTGTAATTTATTTTTATGAAAGGACTGTGACATTTAAAGTAAGAACATAAACTGGCACAACTTGCTTAATTACAGCTCCAGGAAACAGCCCTGTGCAGAAACCTCTGCAAGACCAATCAGAACCAAGTGATAGCAGCGCACTGTCCAGGTACAGATAATTTCTGCTACACATTGCAATAACTTATATTCCCCATCCATTTTCTATCATCTGTCGTTTCCATGACGATGTGTACCTGATATCTGGCCGTTGCAGCATCATACGTGGCCAGGAATGGGTCCTGGTACACCCCACTGAAAACATAATTGCATGGCTTTAGAATGTGCACTCACACATCTTCATATGGCAACCTAGAAATTTATGTATCAAGAGCATGTAACATTTCAAATTCCTGTTGGAGAGAATGAGTACCGGGTAACTTAATATTTCCAGTCCATAAATCTTCGAGCTCAGAACCAAAAGATCTTTTATAGGAATTGAGAATCTGCATTAACATTAAAGAGAATGAGGAGTGGAAACCTGAGAAGGTCATAGTGGCATGCCTGCTCTACTGGTATGTTTGCTGTCAATAATACTTCAAATAAATGCTTATACAAAATAATTATTTCAATTCAGGTGAAATAGCAAAGCTAGGTCACACTAGGACTTCATCAATGTTTTCAGAAGATGAATTGTTACTTACGCTGCATACGGTAATGCAGTTGCTGTAGCTGCCAGTGGAGTGGGATGCCTGAATGCCGCCGCTGCCGCTGCAGCTGCTGCAGTGTATGCACCACGTGCAGCTAGTCCCGCAGCCGCAGCCCGACCCCGCGTCAATGCGACACCTCGGAGCGCAGCAGCTGAAAATGGCCATGTTCACAAATGTGATATTAAACCATATAAATGATTCAAGTTCCGAGGTTCTTTCATACACATGATGTTTTACATTAAGATGTTGTATGCACTGAATGTTTGACAAAAAGGGCAGTGTCTCATTAACATTCATTCATTTTTCAAGTTACCATCAACGAGGGTGCAATAAACAAATAATTCTAATATGCATTTCATAAAGAACAATTTTCTTATGTCAAAAATTTAATTAAAACATTTATCAGATATTACAAAAAAATTTTTATCAAGAGCAAGCAAACTTACAAAATTAAAACGGATTGTTTCATGTTGATAGTAACTTGTAAAAGGGAAGGAAACTACAAACTTCATACAGTCACCAGTCTTTGATCAGTTATGCACACTTTCCCTACTCTACGCCATTCCCATTCCAGACAATTACCTTATTATGTACAAAGTGGGCTACAGGCCTTCAAAATTGATCCATTCAGCAGGCTTCATGTAACAATCGCTGGGAATTATGTTAATATCACATACTGCTAAAAATTATGGTAAAATGGGCTAAAATCTATCCAATCCGTTTATTTGGTTTTCCACTCAAGAAAAAAAGCATATCAAACTTTACAGGGGTTCATGACAGTTACGTCACTCCACAGTGAGCATTATTCACAAATAACTTGAAGCCTGTTTATAGGGCAAGCACTGCACATCTCTCATCACCGATGCATCATCAATGTTTTCACAAATCCCAAATGCATCACATTCCCCACGGGTGTTCACGCATGTTGTAGACGCCCTAACGAGGGGTCCGCACCGTCCTCGGCAAAAACAAAGACTACGGTGACCTCCCCTTCAGGGCTATCTAGAACAAGGCTCCCAAACCGTCCCTATTAGACGAGCTTGGGGAACAATGTGAAGTTAATAGTTGGCAATCATGCTCCCCATGGAGGGGCTACAGAGACAATCAATACTTGTGGGTCTGGTTAATGGACTGGGACTGAGGGCATCTTCTAACCCCTTAAAGTTGTTGACCAGCCCAGCAGACGATGCAACCCTTCAGCAAATTTCTTGAATCCCCATGCAAACAAATGATTGTATAGTATTAATCACACTGTGCTGGACGTTCTGCCTAATAAGATAAAACAGAAAATTTGTCTGACTAAAACCGCTAACCATGTGTAACTTATGCTACACGAATGCTCACATAGCTCATTTAACCAGAGTAGGGAGTATGTAAATTGACGATAAATCTACAATTTTGATCAAATAAAAGACAAATAACAATTTTACAGTCTGAGAGTATTTAACAATCAGATTATGTCTCAGTCTTATCTGGATACATCCATTTGAATATGAATTAAGTACAGATAATATCCTTTCTTATAAATCGGTTACAAATAATCCTTTCGGGCAAATTTGCAAACGCTGAAGGAGCTCTCTTAAAAAATCAATAAATTTTGGAGTTGCAGTAGCAAAATCAATTGGACAGAGGCCAACAGTGTTCTCCCTGTGGAATCTGCTTAACAAATAACCCACGCCAAGAGACCTTCTTAGTCCGGTCTGGATGTGGGATGCTAATAAATTAGATTTTGGCATTAAAGCAGCTCAGCAAATGAGCCTGGTGAGCAATGTTTGAAATCAAGGTTACGTGTCTCAATTGACAATGTGGAGGGAAAAGAATGCAGATAGTTTACCATCATCACATCCAGCAGTCCACATGCAGGTCTTATGTATGCAGTGACAAAGCACGCGCATTGTGTTAATTAGAAAAAATGCCATATCACATCATTCGAGAAAAAAATTACCATCCATTGAAACTGGGTATCCAATTAAACTTGTCAACAAGCCTATCTTAATAGTCATAGCTTTTGTGCTTGTTAGCCTCATTTTTTCAAAATCAGGTGAATGATGTATCACAAATTACAATGATTATAATTTCAAATTTGTTAAAAGGATACCCAGTTCAGCATTTTATCTGTGTACCATTCATTTCCATGACCCTTGCAGGAATATACTCAGCAAAATGATGGCTCCACTATGTGTGGACACAACCCATACAGAAACGAAAAAAATAATACTGAAAATACATATAATACAAGAAACACGAGGCACTGGGTAAGTAGTGGGACTGCATGGATAGCTTTCAAGCTGACACTTGACAATAAAACTCCAATGACAAAAGCTGCTGCATATGAAGGAACTGGAGTGTTGTGGGCTAGTAGCTATCTGCACCCTTGTCTCTCCACAAAGAACGTGGTTACTGGCTTACCATTGGGGATGGTTGGTGCAGCAGCTTTTTTGGTCATGACACGGGCAGTGGCATTGTTAACCTATTTCATAAAATTGTGGAACGTTAAAATTTAGCATTCTCTTTGTCACAAAAATCACAAATCTTCAAAACATAATGTGGACCTCTTTCCTCACTGCCTTTAGCACATTAAGAAGAGTTAAAATTTAAATAGGAGTTTTCACTTTGTTTTTAAAGACAAACTTGTGAAATTTTGAAAGGTTATATAATTGCCAAATTACAATAATTTCAATGATGTGTTACAGGCAATTCAGAATGGCATGGCTCTCTTTGAAATGACTAATGTAATTACAAAACTTTAGCTGTCAAAATTAGAAAGAAATATGACGACTGAAAAGGTTAACCATGGGAGAAACAGTTTACGCTGGCTCTCATTAATATAATTGGCGACAGCCTTACAAAGTTTTTCTATTAAGTGCCAATTATGATTCCATTAATTACCTTGAAAATGCCACGAACTGCCATAATTTGTATGTAGATTACCATTTATGCAGATAAAAACGGTAGCCATGTCAGGTCCACATATTAAAGTATCACACAGCCAATCAGCAACAAAAAGTAGGAAAATTGGGCTTTTCTAATTTTGGAATATGCAAAACAAAATTACCAACTTTTTCAAATTTCAGTTCAAATTTGTACCATTCACTATTTAAATGCAAGTCTGCAACCTTTAATTCTTGTACTGAAATTGACCTTTAACTGTCTCAATTACAGCCAAACTTGCAGTAGCAGCCACTGCTTGTCTTCCAATTAGCCCGATTTTCCATCAAAATCTGGCTAACACCCTCAGGGCAGTCAGGGAGCAAAATAAGAGAAACCCAGTTCTATCTAACCAACAAACCGTTCCCATGGATACCGACACTTAGGACCAGCCAAAGTTTAAAAGGAAAATGTGTAAAATCATGCTCAGCTTGCCGTGGGTGACCACTGTCTACCGCTGTGACGGCAGGACTATGGACCCCAGCAATACTGCTGCAACATGCTTTAACACCCAACTTTTATTTATTTTTAATAGAATTTAAATGAATTTGCTGCATGTTGTAACACACAGCTTAAAATGTTTCGACAGAAACAATAAAGAAACATTCACTTCTCACAGGTCGCAAGTGAGGAATTTGTAAAGGAAATTCTAAAAACTCTTTACATTTAAGTGGAATGCACGCTAAGTAAACAGATTACGCCGATGAAGGCATATCGTCTGTTTACAGCGGAAAGCACAACTAGGAGTTAGAGCCGTCATAACCCTAACATTTGTCAATTCTTATTCAGATTGGAATCAAGATCTACTCGGTTTCCATGGTGAACAGGTCCCTGATGGTGTTGGAGCCAGCCAAGAAAGCTATGATAAGTGCACGCTGCATGTATATGACCCTCAAATAATGGAAATTGCCCCATCCTGTTGGATTTGCAGTCTCAGCTTAATCAAATTCTCTCCTTACTGGATCAAATGCCTTACTTCTACAGTCGTTAGGACAAAAGTCAGAATTTGCTCGCTATTTCACATTTAACTAGAAAATCCCATGTCCGAAATACAGAGTCCCAAATTACAGGACAAAGGAGGGCTAGTCCTGGTGGGGATATTGAATAGACAAGTTGTCTCAATTTGTCAGGAAAATATTTCGTTAGTTCTACAAACTGTTCAAATTGGCATTGATTTGTGAAACATATCTTGTTGAAACCCTGGTCTTTCGGAAGTACATGCAGTGTGCACTGTCAACATGAATGCCCTTTTCCTCACATACTAAGCTAGATTGGATGATACCGGTTAGATTTATGGGGGTATTTAGCTGAATGAATACCAATGGACATTGGACATACAGTGAAGGATGTCTCCACAGAAGATTGGTCATTGTAAGAAGCAAGATAGTATTTCTTATGGCGAGTAGCTGCATCTGGACAGACCTCCTTCCTTCAAACTAAAACACTGTAGACTGTAGTAAAGACTAGCACGCAATGTGAAATGGGAAATTCAGAAAATATAGTAATGTTCCAACTGAATATTAAATCTACAGTGAGAGCGAGATGGTATGCACATGGTACATTCATACAAAATTTGTTTGTTAAATGTTAGTCTTCAAGTCTGTATCTTCGTATGTTCATCATTACGTGTGACTAACAAAAAGCTATCCAAATTTGACAATTACTCTACGACTATCACTGAACTGAACCAATACTAGCTAAAATTAATCATTGTCAGTACTACAGAGAAGAAGGTCTGTCTAGAATGGCTACTTTAGACATTACAATATGGGCAGACGACGAATCACGTGACCATACTTTAGCGTATCTACCTACCAGTTAATCCCCCATTTATCTTTGCATAGGTGCGCAACTTTTCGCCTTTCCGCTTTTTTACCACTAAGGGAATGAAATGAAGCCGAAGATTTGCACCTTTCTCTAATGTGAGGTTCTTATATAAAGGATAAACACGTAAAAAGTCATTAAAAATGGTAAACACAATCAAAACAGCATCAAGAAATGCCAGACAAATGTGAGCTATGCAGAGTTAAAAGTCGATATGAATTTTCATTGGCGTGCATACGAATGCATGGTTCTGACACAGACAAACATACTTGTCCTGTATTTACATAGAAGGGGGCCTAGTCACCCATCTTCAGGACTCGCCACGATATCCTAGGCAGTGAGAAAATCTCTTAAGAAACACGATTCTGATATTTTGGAAAACCCTAAGCACAAGACATTACAACAGTACACGACATACACTTAGCAGGCATTTCTTCATACTGCACAATGTAGATAGGAATACTTAGCGAGTCTCATTTGTGCTACCACAAATAGTAAAATACTCATGCAGGCACCTCTATCTTTCGTCCCTCAACCACTGTGCCGTTCAATTTCTCTCGTGCTCGGTCTGCATCCGCGCTATTTGCGAAAGTTACGAAACCGAATCCCTGCATGCACAAGGAAAATAAGGAGCATGCATTAAAATCGTGCAAATCAACATAAATTATATGGCATTTTTATTGTCAATAATTCATCATGCATGATTTTCATGTATGATTTCTATCAAATATATGAAATGGGGGGTGAGGGGATAGCATGCTTAGAAACTAGAAGCGGCATGCTTCTTCATGCCTCTAGGCCAAATATACTAACAGATGCCACCCCAATGGGGACGAACAATTTCAATACTTAAGGCTTTAGGGGAGGGGGCATTAGTTTTTGGTGCTTCCAAGTCAGTTAGTCAATTTTGTTTAATTCAATTTCAATTTCATATAAGCTTGTGAAAGTTGTCTGTGTGCCTATTGTTAATTCACAAAATTTCCCACCAAAGTTCAAAACAAATCAAAAGAAAATGTAAATCCAGTTGCAGAATATGAACAAGTTAGAATGAGTAAAAGGAGTAGAAGCACAACATTAGCAAGTGAGGAAATCTCTATTGGCGCCCAGAGACCTCTGTTAAGAGGGGTATACTACAATAAGAGAAGGCTTGCAAACAGATGTTATATATGTACACCTTGTATACACTACAATCAGGGGGCAAGGAGCACGGAATGCTGCAAGGAGCATCACAAACAACTTTCCAACAAGATTTGGTAAGACAGCACGTGACACACAAACTAATTTGAAAACATTTGGAAAATGACTGTTATAGCATCAGCTCAATTACCTCCCCTTACAAGAGCTGGCCAGGTGAGGGCGCTTCAAAGTAATAACCATTAAGTTAACACATGATTAAAAATTTCAGTTAATCGAAAAGAAGTTCAGTGAAACGAAGGTAAAAGGTAATTTTGTTACAAAAATTTTCAATTTGGAAACATGATTTTATCAATGTTTTTGAAATACAATGAAGCATTTGATTCGGCCTCTCCTAGCACATGCTGCAAAGGAGCAGTATATCTTAAAAAACGCTTCAATATTTAAACTGCTGAATGTACGAGAAAGATGAAATCATTGACATTCTGAACAATTCTTACATATGCAACATCTTATTTGATAAACAGTGAAAAATATCAAATTCATTTGAAATGATATCATTTTTGTTCCAAGCTTAAGACACTGGCTCTCTTCACAAGTCAGTGAATAGGCAAAATTGAAATTTCACAATATAAATGTTCTGCATTTTTTTAAACATCGACTTTTGAAAGTCATTAATGTCATTAATTAATCTTGATGCCAAATCAAATAATGTTGATTTTGAAACAAAAATGTAATAATTTCAAATTCATAATAAACATACATGTATTTAGACAAAGAAAATATTCACTGGTAGAGGTAAGACAGAGATACAACTGCAGCAGCTTAAGCTTTAAGTGATTTTTCATTAATTTCTCTCATGAACAAAGTCAAAAAGGTACAGATGTAAATCAAGTGTTCCTCCATACAATGTGGTCACAAAAGAAGGGGTAACCATCCGGATCACTCCTCATGGCATTTATACCACTTTTCCTGAATACATCTATCACAATTTATTGACCACTAACAACAGATGTGAAGCACCTGTGAAGGGCCTCCTGTCACAGTGGTCTGTGACTTTCAGTTTGCTGAGAGTTATTGATCATTCCTACCATTTCATTGTCAACAACAACTGTAACACCTTTTACCCTTGAGGGAATACTGCCACAGGTGTAAATCAATCCTCGCATACATTGATTCGGGAAGTGTTCAATTAGAGAAATCATTTTCTGCAAATAGTTTTAATTCATGGAACTTGTCAGGCTGTCCCATAGTAACACTTGTGTATTGCTGTTTCCAAGTATGCTGCAGTCATACCTCTTGTCAATACTCAATGTTCAATTACTATGTATCTGATGTTTCTTTTCAAAATTGGTAATTTGATAACATGTGCCACACCAAGAGATGCCTACATGTGGTATATAATCATAGCAACAATAAAATGAGTCACCTCTTACAATAGTGAGGGATGTCACAAGTGGCACTGCATTCGATTCATTCACTTTGCTTTTCCTTTGTTACAGGGTTAAGTAGATATAGTCCTCTGATACTTTTACTTCATGAGATCAATGCATAATGGAGTATTTCATTTTTTTCTGTAATTTCTTCATTTATAAATGAGAAAGCCATTTCTCTTGGTATGGCACAGTACTGTCGTTACACAATCAAGGTTACTGGATTGAAGCAAAGTGACTTACCTTTGATCCCCTTTCGTTAAAAATGATTTCCACATCTAAGATTGGGCCGAACTGTTGTTGGACCAGAATGAAAGAGAACAGAATTCAAAATGAGAAAATGAATTCATTAAGCCCTTCCTGTACATTTTGAACTGATTTTCTGTATCATTTAATTAGTCAGTTGTTTTATGATGGACATGGGGCGATGGGGTGGACCTCTTTTGGTTCTGCATATCAATACGTAGTATAATGGATGGGTTTATTATTATTTTTAACTATGACATGGTTTAGTTGTCAGCAGGGTAAATCCTCTAGAAGTATATTACATGAACACTTTCATCCTCTAGCCTACAATTAGTATTTCAAACCATACTCACCCCTAAGAGTTGGCGCAAGTCAGCTTCTCTGAACCTGAATGGAATATTTGATACATGCAATCTTTTAGGTCCTGAGTTGGGTCCTTGCGAGCCCTGTGGCTGTGGGGAGGATGGCTGGATATCCCCTTCCACGGGCAAGTCTGTTTGCTGAAATACAACAGGGGACCATGAAGAGGACTAGTGGACAACAAAGACTGGAGAATCTTGTCAAGGACTTTTTACTTTTATAACTTCTTTATTATTTTATTTTTTTATTATTTATTATATTATCATTGATGTATATCGTCTACAATATTTAAACCATGTTATACAGATTCTTTTAGTTTATTTCATTGTTGTTTACTACAAAACAGTGCACTTCTTTATAATAAAATCACAAAAATACAATCAGTATGTGTAGGTTAATAATACAAAAGCACATGGTTAGTAGTGGAAACCAAGAAAAAAGCAGTTAGATAATGGGAACAAATATGAGAGAGGTAATGTAGGATGAAAAGGAAACCACGTTTCTTGCATACCCACACCCACCACCGCATCTAAAATACATCATGTTTCTTCATCATCCGTTTTTACGCTGCCTGCATATCAGGGATCTCAGCTCAGCTCGTGATGGAAACTGACAATTTTACTGATGACAAATGCCATTTATTTTTCCTTTCAAGAGCTTTAAAGTAACATGACACTGTATGTCACCTTCCAGTGATGAACATTATTTTAAAATGTCAAATGTAAGGAATTCCTATTTCTGAAGAAGCTAAACTAACTGCAATATGCTATGGGCAAGCAAACAAAGCTGCTTCAAAACATCTTCATCAAACACCATACATGACCAAAGGCCAGTAGTGTTCGCTGGGAAGCATCTCTAATTCCGACCACAGCCTGTCAGCTGGTGAGTCACCCACTTCCACAAGAACGGTGGCAACAACGCTGTCTCAACGCAAGTGTCAAATTGCCTAAAATCGCTGCAGACATCAGATGGCCTCAAACCAAATTAAACTTCCTTTTCACTGTTCAACATGACTGGGATCAAATGATACACTACACACTGAAACATGATAGGTCAAATAAACTGATACCAAGAGTCTTGTTATTAATAACCGAGAATACTTGTTTTACTGACATTATGGACACAAGCATGCAAATAAGCTGTTAGTTTCCACAAAATGAGTTAGTTTGAAGTGACTAGTAGTACTGCCTGTGAAGATCCACATAATAATTCCATACCAATTAGCTCCCATGTTATTCCAGGGTATTTAGTCACCAAACCATTGCTTAAGGAAATGGCGAGTAAACAGCCTTTCTAACCTTGCAGCAAAAATACCACAAGGTGTACAGGCTCCCTTCAAGAAGCCATGTTCTGGCTTGAAGCCAAGCTATCATCTCTGATAGTATGGAAGTCGAGATGTTTTAGTTAATGATTCCAATATGCAGCGAGACACCATCTGGCAGGCACAGAAGACACACAGAGAGATGTAACAAGCATTTATAGCATGCTTAACACACCAGTACAATAAGATGCATACATTTCTTCAAAAGTGGGATGCATTGCTATGTGATAAATGTTAATACTCATTTTCCAGTGTTGTAGCAAGGGTTAATGTGCATTACATTGGTTAATAGTGTTAAATGCAAAACAAGCACCTTTGATGAAATATCATGTATCTTTCAGACAAGTATGAATGTAATATTTGAATGATTGAATCCTTGCAGCTTCATTTGGAGAACAGACAATTGAAAGACCTTGACTACCTTGTTACAGGACTACCAGGGTACATGTGAAGGGGGATTGAAGATACGCAATATATAGTGATTGGAATTACACAATTCATGACATAATGTGCATTATACTCTCTAATATGTATGAAGGGCATCCAAACTGTTCTACATGCAGAATTAAAGTGAACAGTTAGTACAATTAACCCAACACCGATCAACCAAAAATTCCACCAAATGAATGATTACGAACAACAACAAGCACATCTATAGTTCATGCAATGGTACTTCCAGACTGACGACGTACATTAAAGGGCCGAGCTGCCCTTACCGTCTGCTGCTCTATTGCTCCATTGGGCGTGACGGCAGCAGGCGATGCGTACACGGTGGTTGGAGGCTGCTCGGACGCCACACTTGTGGCTTGACTGGCGACAACTTGATGATGGTAGTCTTCGAGGCTGGTGACGCCTGGGACTCCTGGTACTGTTGGCACGCCTGTGATGCCTGTCACCCCGGGCACCCCGGGCACCCCCGTCTGTGGATATGTGTATGTCGGAGTCATCTGGTTTTGCACCATGTGCTGAAAACAAAATTACAAATTCATTAGTATACAAGTACAGCATGGTCCTCGGCCAACAATTTCAGGAACGACCAAGGCCATATTTCTTGAAACAGGAACAAAATCAAAGTACAAAATACACAAATAAACTTTCTGCACTTTGCTGTACCGTGACAACATCCATGATAAGGCAGTAGGTGATCTTCTAACTAACAAGCTAAACATTCACAGACTCTATACCATGTGGTTAAAGGCAGCAGCCATGTTTCACGTCCCAACCAGCAGATTTGACTCAGACTCTGAGTTTGGTGTTAATTGACATGTAAATAGGAAACCACTGCATAAGGGGATGGATCCTATTCCAATATGGCTGATGCCTATCATCTGACTGTTCCTGTTATCATGCTGCAGAAAGACCACAGGTTTATCAACATAGATCCAAGTACTACAAATAGTAAAATTATTATCCATACCACATTATGCATCAACCAATGTTTACAAATGGCATTGCATTTCCCTTACAACATGTTGGACTGATCCGGTTTCAAATTCAAGAACTGCTTCACATTCACTCCCTGTGTGTTTCTACCCTACTTATTCTGACTTCTGATTAGACACAGAAATTAATTATTGAGGTTCAGGCATGAAACTCTGTTTCACTGTGGTGTTGGAAAAGGCAGAAAAATGCCCTCACAAATTACACACCAAACTCCAATCGATACTTTCTCTGGTTTCCGCTATCTCCCTTGAGGAACCGACTAAATGGAGGCAAAGTTTTCGGGGAAAACAGTATCACTTACATGTGTTCACACATGGTAAGAATGAAGACGTAACACTTTCCAAATTTACCACAACAATTATTGATGTTGAATCACCAAAGCTGTCCAAGTCTTTCATGAGGACATTTCGAGGGCTCATGCTAAAAACTGTTTGCTTTCATTTCCAATAACACAATTCTGTTCACTCTGAAACATGAATATTCAGGATAAGCCTGTTAAAAAGACTGATGGAAAAGCTATGAAGTTGCGACTTGATTAGATGATCAGGTTTTATTCAGCAAACTCAATGAATATAAATGATGCACAAGTTTAGCATGAGAATAATAGGTCTTCTAGTTACACATTTTGTAAACTGTAAATCATAATTCTACTATTTGTAAGCAGTTCATCATATCCCGTAAATATTAAATGTCCTGTCTTTGTAAGACAAGTACTCACCCACATTTGATGTAACCAAGTCTAGAGTTTGGATCAAGTGTTTGAGTTACTTTCCTGTTCCAGAACAAGATCCTAGCACACTGCGAGGCATTGAGAGGAAGGAAAGCACACTACACTGCCCAACCCTCAAACAGTAGTCATAGTCATTACGCATCGGTTGAAAATGTTAATAATGCCTCGTTATGTCAAATATACTAATTCAAATGTCAAAAATAATTTCATATTGCCTAGTTAATCTTGCACAGCAGTTGCAGTTATGAACAGTTAATTAAACACAATTACTTAATTACAGAAAATATCTAATTTCGTATTCAAACCCTGACTAATATAATAATAAGCGGATTGAGCTCAGTATTTATTCCACGAGGCACTAGCAGCAGCCATTTTCTCCCTGCCATGTGTGCGATAAACAGTGAATGACCTAGATCCTCCATGCTGATACAACGACAAGATCATAAGTACATACCAGACGAATATTCCGACAGTCTTCCAGACCGACTTGAACACCCTTTTCCATAGCAAATATACCCATCCTGCTGCCACCAATATTCACACGATGGACTGGCATTGGAAAACGTTGGTAATTTCCAAAAGTACTAGATGCAATAGGCACTCCAACACAGAAAGCAATTAGAGTCAGTTGTAAAAACCCAGGGGGATGGCGAAGCTCACACAATTATGGAACTGGAATGCCAGGTCCCTCTGCCCCCCTGTCAGCCATTTCTGAGGGTCATGGGCTTAGGAACTGATGAGAATGTCAAAACATAAATTATTCATAATCAATGGAGGCGCACACATCTCTATTCAGACTGCCCCTTACTATCAGACAGCTCTGCCTCTCAAAAACATTGGACTGTCTTTGTGGAACACAACTGCTCGCTGAGACAATTTACTGATCGGCAAGGGAAACGGCAATTGGGAACTTCAATATCGATATTTGGAGGGTTGGGGAAGGAGCCTGAACTGATATCTAACACTGATACTGACCTGGGCAAAGGGAGCAAGAGCTGACTGGTGAACAATCTCGGTCGGAAGAAGCATTTCCATGTTTCAAGAATTGGATAACTAGTCAAAGAGTCTTTGAAAATCAAATTCCTTCTGAGTTGCAAATAAATCTGACTAATCAAATTTAAAAACTTAATAACCGAGAAGGCAAGCCTTAATTGTGTCTTAAGGAAGTGTTGCTTGTGAGATGCAGAGGTCAACTGCTGGCCGGCCCAAATCTGTTCCTGTTTATAGGGATGACCAGACAATAAGCTGGGCTGAGCAGGAAACAGGCCTGCTTTTGACAACTCACTGATTAGCCCCCACTGTGACACCACACACACATGTGTTGCTCTGTATATCTACCAATGTACTCCTGCCTGACGCTCTGGCCTCTCCTTGCACTCTGAATTAATTAGCACTGGGAGTGTGTGTATATCAATATCCTGGGGGGCGATCACCTGGAACAATGTACCATCAGTGATACAGCAGGTTGTACACCCTTTGTCAAACACAATCTACTTATTACCACTCTCTTAGGATGTATATTAATCAATGCACCAATGTTACTCCATTGATATGAGCTGGGAGGGTCATAGACACCATCAAAATGAAGTACACCAATGTAAAACAATTTTTTGGCATTGGCATTGATGCTTGAGACTGATCCTATGTTAACAGTGTCAAAGATCTTCATAAGTGACAGGTGATTTATATCAGAATAACAAATCCAATATAATATCCTTTTCCATAATGTATCACTTGTCAAGAAACAGGATGGTTTCAAAACCTGATGACCTTTTCAACACAGGACACTGCTCTACCACACTACAGGATCACTACATCACTCCACTTTCTTTACATTCTTCAACACATGACCATAATCACAAGTTCATCTTCCTACATCACAAGTAATGGTCCTGTAAATATTCCAATTCCCCTTGTTCTGGGGCCTTCTCTAACAGGAGAGACACAAATAGACACAGGATCACAAGTTATGACAACAAATGACACATATAACAGCTGTCGTGCTTTGCAAAATGACATATCAGCACAGCCTCTTCTATTGTTCTCAACGCTGTTTCCATAGAAACACTTTTAAATTGGCTCACTGGGTATGTGCTCTTATTCATGCAGCAATAATCAGTATATATGCCCAAACTGTGTGTATCAACATAAAAATCACTCATGATATTGATCTTGCATTACAATATATCAGATACTGAATATAATTATGCTCTCCCCTAAAGGCAGATGGTCAAATGATAATGTATAATGTAATTGTAGCAGTGATGATTGGTATTTTTCATTAAACACCTTCATTTATGAAATACCAAAGCTTAATTTTGACCAAGACACTGTTTTGTATCAGGTTCACTAATAACAAATGTCACACCATGCATTCTTTTTCACAAGACATGAATTATTACCTACTAACTCCACAGTGTGTGTTCTCATATTTTGCAAGTAACAATGCTTCAGAGAAGGCAAACAAGAGCTTGATACAACGGTTTAATGTACATCGGGAGTTAAATGTTAGGAAATATCATTGTAAATGTCAAAAGGCATAATGACGGAGTTTACACCCATGATGCCCATTAATCCTGGGACTGTCAACTCACACCAGAGACTAGATTCAGCTCTTGACAACATACTTCTCTACTTCATTTTGACAACAATTCATAAAATATATAAGTATGTACCGAAAAAAAACCCTTATGTTTCATTAAGGTTCATAATGGTGATATTTTCCAATGTCCATGATTTCTTTTGCATTCTTGCCTTATTTCTTTCCTTATTTTTCTAAAATTGAGTGAGTATGGATTTTAAGCTGCTTTTAGCAATATTCCAGCAATATCATGACCAGGGACACCAGAAATAGGCTTCACACATTGTACCCATATTTTTCTAAACGAATCAAAAACAACATTTGTGTACAGACCCCCCCACCCCCCAATCAACTATAAGTATACCTCCTAAACATTTGATCTCTGATAATCACCCCCCAGAATGTAGAATATACCCCCCTGCACATGCAACTTCTCCAATTACACACCTAACCCGTACAAGCCTTTGAAGTCAACATCCCCCCAACCCCTCCCCTAGCTTCCTTTCTTTCAAGTTAATTACTATGACAACTACAAAGGGTTCAAGGCCATCTGGTTTCAATAATCCTCTTGTGAGTTGGAGAAGATGGCTGATTGATTGCTCAGAAGGAAGTGTACAATTAACAGAAACTGTTATTTCATAACGTCAGGTGACACATGTTGTTCTGAAGCTTCAAGTTTAAACCAATAATTATTCAATAAATAGTTGAACATCAAGTTGTTGCAGATATATGTAACATAATATCATTTGTAAAAACATTTGCTTGAATGTTTGTTTGTTGGATGTTTAATGCCGCACTCAGCAAAAATATTCCAGCCATGATTTAAACAATATTTATTTCCAAGAAAAGGGAATGGGATTGGTGAACAGATTCAACCTATTTCAACACCTCCAGCCATATGACGATAGTCTGTAAATAATCCAGTCTGGACCAGACAATCCAGTGATAAACATCATGCGAAACGATCCGGGGATTGGGATACAATGAGATGCATCAACCAAGTCAGCGAGCATGATCCCTTTCGTCACCTCTTACGACAAGCATAGGCGCCTTTTACAGCAAGCATGGAGTGCTGGAGACCTATTCTACCCTGGATCTTCACCGGTCTTGAGTGAGTTGGTGAGTGAGTGTGGTATTGATTTATATCTTGGAAGGAGGACACCAGAACTGGGTTTCATTTTTTAAATGACATTAATTCATAGATAAATTTT